GTACGATCATTAAATTCAGATAACATCTTTTCCAAATCAACGTTATCTTTATTTAACCCAATTGAGGCCTCAAGACTGTCCACTCGCTCCGTTAATACCCTATTTTGTTGCTTAAGCTCACTATTTTCCTGTAGAATCTGATCAATTTTAGAGGTTATGTTATCCAGTTTGGATTCCAGAAGGTTTTTTAAATCATCTTTAATACCATTTTGGAATGGTATTAATAATTTTTCAAGTACGTTTTTAAGCATTACTTCATCCACAGCCCTATTTCCATCAGAAACCGATACACCCGATGCTCCAACCTCACTTCCGCAGGCATGACAGCTCCACTCCAAACCATTTTTGATATCAGATGCCAATTTATTAAATTCCTCAGTCGTAAGAGAAGTACATTTGCTATGTACCCACTCAAGACATTTGCAACAACGCACACTTGGTTGTGTTTTTGCAATATTTGCAGCACAAACTTAACACCTGTAAACAGTCGGCGCCATTTTTTATATCCATTTGAATGCTCAATTGTAACTGTTCGGAAGCATTCGGAAATAGTCAACATCTGCCTCATTTAGAATTTACTACCTGCTCGTATTGAATGAATTATTTTGGGTGTATTCATATCCTACCCTGGCGAAAATGAAATGTGCAAAAAGTGTGCAAAATTATTTGAGAACAATGTGCCAACAATGTGCAATCTTTTAAAAAATGATGTGCGGAGGATGGGAAATGGAACATGAAACAATGTGCAAAATCAAAAATTTAAAAGTGTGAATAATCACTGGACAATGTTCTAAAGGGAACTCCTTTTGATTTTTCACATTGTTTGCATACTGTTTCTTGCCACCTGTGTGCCTATTACAAAAACATATTCTTTTTGGTGACCTATAAAGTCTTTTAAATTTACACATAATTGAAATATAAATATCCTTATAATAATATTAATCAAATAAATATTTTTTTCAAAAAAAATTTAAAAAATACCCTCAATGTAGGTCCTACATACTGTATTTTATTAAAAAAAATACCTGCACTGTCAACTCCACGAAGGGGATTGCTTTGATCTTAGCAATAGGCCGAGAATCGATACATAAGATGGAATCTAACTCACCTTTTAAATAAATGTTGTACCCAACTCAAGCGAGATATATCTAAAATGTGCTTAAACTGTTGAGTGATCGCTAAAACTGTACAAACAATGTGCTATAGGCTAAAGAAGTATCGCTAGTAGCGCCACCACTCGGCTGTTATCATCGTAACAAAAGTAGAACTTTTAATAATCAGCTGTCAAACGCTTGGGTTACAAACGAGTGTTTTTGAAAATAAAGCCGGAAAATGTTAAAAAATATCGAAAAAAAAACCGTGGATCGATTTGTTGTGTTGTTGGGTGTATTTCGAGAGGAAATCCTGGGTTGAGTTTTTACCAGTTTTCCAATAAACAGTGTTAATCTGAATGAAGAAATAAATTGCATACAGTCTCTGTACATATAAATTGTACCTATTAGATACATTAAATACACATTTTACTAGTGATTATCGTGAAAAGTGTAAACATTTCAATTCAGTAAAAATCGTCAAACAAATAAGTTGTCTAAATTTAAACAGTATTTAGCATTATTAAAAGCTTTGATTAAAATTCTTTAAAGTCTCCACTCAATGGTAAAATACCATTAAGTATATTATGTATTATATATAATATTATATTGCCATGAATTCGTAGGTATATTTTGTTGTTTTAAATGCAGTTGTCGGCGTTTTTTAGAGAACTCAAATATAAAAATGATTGATTTTAAGGTTATGTTTGTATTTTTTACTAATTTCTTAAAACTGCCCAAACTTAAATATAAATTATATTAGGTAAAGTTATCATTAGTTAATTCTGCACCAACAAATGTACTAACCGAATTGGCAACACATGAAAATGCAACGATTTAGTTCTTGAATTTTATTTACAATTAAAAACACAATAATTCACCATGATCCCTTTGATAAAATATAGTAGAAACCACGAATATATGAACGTGACTCATCCGACACATTCGTACGAAGCAATCTATCGAAGGTCACGGTCCAGTGCAGTCCGGTTTGCAAAAAAACTTGAGTGTAATGTTGGTTGCTATACTTATGATATATTTGCTTTTAAAGTTAAATAATTAACATCTAACATAATTAACATCTACGATAATTAAATAAAATGTAATTTTCTTAGAAACTAATTAATAAATAAACTTTTCTTTTAACTTTAATGAAATATTCTATCATCTGATGACAGAACGTACACTCGTGGCGACACCTCTGTTTTTAATATCTAACAAATTTTTAGACCGATCCAACCCATGATCCAACCTCACTTTCTTCCAATTAAATTCTTTGTCTATGGTATTTTTTGGAAACGTAGAAAAAGTATAGTCTGAAACACGTTTGGAATTCAGGTCAGGTACAAAGTGAAAGATATTTAAATTGTGTGGATATAAAAACAACTTGCGTTAGTTTCACGAAATTTATTAAATATTGACAATTGTTTCGCTACACAGTAGCTTCTTCAGAATGTATTAAACTAATACTAGTACAAAATTTATATAATAAAAATATTTTTGTATTCTAGCCTAGAATTTCTAAGTAAGGATTTTTATACGACATCTACCTGTGTTACATAATATAAACCACTGCCACTACAACGTTTAAAACGATTATTAATCCGTAAACACACACCGTTTATTTAAAGTCCAAAAAACGTACAATAACAATTGCAATAAAGTCCAATAAACATGAAATAACAATTGCAATAAAAACCACTAGCACTACAACGTTTAAAACGATTATTAATCCGTAAACACACAGCAGAAACAGGATATGCAAAAACAAAGATCATATGACATATAAAAACAAATGGCCGACGGTAAAGTTGGTTGCCTTACTATGTAATAAAATAAAATAAATGCCTAAAACACGAACTCTACTGAATATAAGTAACAAGCTAGGACACACGTCATATGTCCATCTTTGTCCAACACCTAGGCAGTTTTACATCACAGATGGCGCATATTAGACCGGATGCTTAAAAACCTACGTGTGAGTACATTTACCGCTGCATCGAATGTACAAGACAAGTAAAACATTACTGCTAGCATGTCTGAGATATGTTCGGCACCCGATGAGTCACGTTCATATATTGGTGGTTTCTACTGTACACAAACTAACGTAACTATAAGCATTTAAGCGTTGAGTTTCTTAATCAATGATATAAGGAATAATCAATCAAAATCGAGTACAAAAAAAAATTTATAATATAAAAGGCAAATAAAGGCCTTCAAGGTTGATTTTTTAAATCTATATTTTTATAACTTATTCTACTGCGCGGCAGGTAATATTTTCCACGTCCAAGAAACCTCAGCACAAAAGACTGCATGGAAACCAGTTCTTACACACCAAAACGCCACGCAGATTAACGAGATCAATGGAGCCGAACATAACACAGGTACAATCGCCGTCACGGTTAATGACGCGGAAAGCTAAGAGGGTATATAAACAACGATTTGCAGCAACGGAGCTCACTCCACGTCTAACTCGCATCAGAGCAGCAACAGCAGCCAAGCAAATAAGACCTAAAGATGGTACATGAGATTGTACCGCAACGTCGTCAGAGCTACGGTTCTTTTAAGAACCAAAAACCGACAACACGGAGCAGATCCCGGAAAACCATCAATACATATATACCACGTTGGTACATTTGGCGTTTTCAACTTAAAAAATATATAATCTTCCAAACTTTTTTTTTTAAATAGTAATATTATTAGCTTTACTTTGCAAGAAAAATTAAAAGCCGTGGAGATATACTCTTAAATGTATTTTTTTATAAATTAATGCGCAGCAGTAAGCTTAGTCTCTGGGTATCGTCTCTTGTGTTGAGGTTTCTTGGACATTTTTCTATTTCAATGGCTTAACGGATGGTACGTTTGGTTCTGTATTCGATGCTAGCCAAGACCCTTGTTTTTTTAAAGTCAATTTCCCAATATCGCCAGCAATAGCCAACTTATTCATCGAAGAAATAGAAGTACGAGTAATCGAAACGGCAACACTAAAATTAAAGTTATGGTTACGGTACGTAGAATACACATTTATCATCTGGACCCACGGAGAAGCGGAACTGAAGAAATTCCTGGACCATCTCAACGGGATTCCCAAAAAGATTAAGTTCACAATGGAAACCGAGAAAGAACACCAATTACCTTTTCTAGATGTCTTCATAATCGAGAAAAATAAAGGCAAACTAGGGCACCCGCCCAGTCTCACCACCACCCTTCACAGCTGCAGTCAGTCATTAAGACACTTGTCACGCGATCCGAAAGGCTGGCGGATGATGACCATAGTGTCAAAAGGAATTAATTATTTTTTTTTTTGAATTCCCTAACAATTCTCGTATACACTAATTATATTTTTTAATGGGAAATCCGAATCTGCAATTTTTCAAGATATTCCCAAAAATAGGGTTTCTTGCGATTACAGCGCCATCTATCAGGAATTAAAAAAAAAGGTTTTCCATAAAAGGTTTTATACGTGTCAGGTTGGCACAACTGCATACAAAGCTACGTATTTATAATGAAATACAGTTACCACTTTACACTTGTTAGTGCGCCATTTTTGGGACACACGTGTAGTACTATACTAACTACTATTGTAGTTAAATTAGCAGTTCTTTAAAATACGGCTCCACATTATTAAAAACAATAATTCGTTGTGGAAAATAAATCCATAATGATTATGGATAATTTCATAATCCCTTGTCAACGGAAAACTCAAGTATTAATCTGGTTTGATTAAATGCCATTCCATTCCCAATAATAATAAATCAAATTGTTGTCAGACCAACTCGAAAGTTTTGTTGGAATGTAGTTTTAATTTATAAAAATCTTAATTTTTGTACCTTTGTTATTATATGGATATTGAATTCTAAATTTGGACCTGTAATAATTTTGAGTGATAATATTAATATTTTTTTACAGGCCTCAGAAGACAAAAGAAGTCAAAAAGAAATTGGAGATATTGCTGGTGTTGCAGATGTAACCATCAGGCAGTCATATAAATTAATGTATCCTCACGCAGCCAACCTGTTTCCAGAAGACTTTAAATTTGCCACACCCATTGAGCAATTGCCACAAATGTGAAATGTTTTTTTTATGAAATATTGTAACTTTTGTTACTTCAAAAAACAACTTTTATTAATATTTTAATGACCCCATTTATTTTAAATATATTAGGGCCTTATATAAATTGTGGGAATTTATTTATTTTATAGATTTATGTAGCCTATTAAGCTAAATTAAGCTTATTAAGTTAAAATACATGTTACTTGTAATGCAACTATTTTATAAACATTTAAATACCTTTTAATAAAGAACTACTTTTTTTATAAGATTTTATTCATTGTAAAAAATACAAAATGGTTGCATGAAATAACCCCCAATGCTGCCGTGCTAAGCTAAAAGGACGTATCAGCAATATCTGGTAGTAAAGGACAGAAGAACATTTTAATTTTTAAAAACAATAAAGAAAGACGTTTTTTCTTAACTACCAAAAACTGCCGTTCTAAGACAAAACATCATATCTGCAATATATGGTAGTTAAGCAAAAAAGACATTTTTTATTGTTTTTAAAACTAAAATTTTCTTCTGTCCTTTACTACCAGATATTGCAGATACGTCCTTTTAGCTTAGCATGGCAGTATGGTTATAATTTTAAAATGCATGATAACATAAAGAAATTATATATTTTAGTTATACAAGGTGTCCCTAAACTTAGTGGCATAAATTTAGGAGCAGATTAAGCAAGTCAAAATAAGACGAAAATCTAAATAAATATTTTCCCTAATTGTGTATGTTTAAAAGATACAGGGTGATAAAGTGTTACTTATCATATCAGTTTTTTTAATATAACTTCTACTATGGTAGACTTGGAAAGGGGATATTTTGCGAACAGTCACTTACTACCAAAACACATATTCACACGTAATTACAATTGTTCGAGTAAGGGCAGTGTCATAGAAACAGGGGTTGCTTAAGCTTTTTGTCCCATATAAACTTTAAGGTTGGGTTTTTATACCATTTGATGCAATTTTTGGATTACTCAGTTCGGCTACTCTTAAAAAGGTGTACCTCTTAAACTTCGATAAAACAAACCGTTTCCGAGATATTAGAGATTAAAATAATTGTTATATCGCATTAAAAGACTAAAAGGTATATGATAACAAATTTTTTAATTGAAAAAAATACAATTTTTTGTGACCGTCCTGATGCGTCAGGGCAAAAAACTCCGAGGCTCAAAGAATGCCCTTTTTAGTTTTTTCAATTAAAAAATAAAATTTGTTATCATGTACCTTTTAATCCTTTTAAATAATGCGATTTAACAATTATTGTAATCTCGAATATCTCGGAAACGGTTTATTTTATCGAAGTTTGAGAGGTACACCTTTTTAATAGTAGCCAAACTGAGTGATCGAAAAATTGCATCAAATGTTATAAAAACCTAACCTCAAAGTTTGTATAGGACAATAGGCTTAACCCCCGTTTCTACGACACTGTGTTCACTCAAACAATTGTAATTATGTGTGAATATGTGTTTTGGTAGTAAGTGACTGTTCGCAAAATATCACCTTTCCAAGACTACCATAGTAGAAGTTATATTAAAAAAACTGATATGATAAGTACCATAAGCATATATTATGTTATTAATATTGCAAGCGTTTCTACTGATTTTTACTAAATTTTATTGATTAAAATTAGTAGATCTACTGAAAAATTAGTAGACCTGGCAATATTGGCTGTCAGTAATCAGTAATAATGATTACTGATTCAGTATCGATATTATCGAAGTCGATATCGATAGTTTCGATAGTATTTAAAAAAGCAAATAATCGATAGTATCGATAAAATATCGATATTATCGTCACCTCTAGCAGGAAGTTCAATCAGTATTTTCATTTTATTTCATCCATATAACATTTTTTTTTAATCATTTCAACCAGGCCTCACAAGGCCAATTGCTGTGTGCAGACTTATTTCCATATATATTTTAACCATCCGTCGTGGGAATTTCTTGTAACTTACTCAATCTGATGTGGGTTTTGTATATTTGATATTTACCAGCTTATTTTTGTGCTGGGATTCCGATTCTGAACTGTTTTGCATAGAGCAAGTGGCCCGATCCATGGACAAAACCCGAATGTTTTAGAGAACTCAAATATAAAAATTGTTGATTTTAAGGTTATGTTTGTGCAAAAATTATTTTTACTTATTTCTTAAAAATGTCCAAACTTAAATATAAATTAGGTAAACTTATCATTAGTTAATTTTGCACCAACAAATGTACGGCCAAACAAAAAAGTTTTTCCAATATTTTTGATATAGAGCTAAGAAGTGAAATTGGTCTGATGTTTGCAATATTTTGTTGGTCTCCTATCCCTGGTTAAAATGTCACAGAGACCCTGTTCAAACCGATAGATTGTTGTAACAGATTGTATGGTGTTTCTATAGGGTGTATCGGTATACCGATACATATACAGTGTGTCCCAGAACTCGCGCCACAGAGAAAAAGGGGGCGTGCCGATAGCAATGGAGATGCCAAATTTAAAAATAAAAAATTTCTAGGTAATAGTGTAATCGAATGAGAGCAAAAAAGCGGCAGCCAATACCGAGAGCTCTCGCCTAGGTTAAACGTAAGAGCTTTAAAAATTGCTAGGAGACGATAGAACATTGTTGTATTAAAAACATTTAAAAATCTTTTGGCCAACTGTATTTACTAAGTTGTCAAAAGCTTTCAAAAATGAGGTTATTAATCTATGACTTAAGTCATAGATTATTATAATTATAGATTATTATAATTATTATTATTATAATTATACTTCAGAACGCCAATGTTTTAAACGATTAGGAAAGGGCTGGGAAAAAACTCGCGTTGTCTCCCTGGCGTTGCGCCCACACTAAATAAATAAATAATTATCATTTCAGTATAATCATCTAAGGAAAACATTATTTATAATAACTTAATTTATAACCTAATATAATATTAATGACAGGAGTTTGACAGCAGTGTCACAATGAATTGGATTCCAGTGGACCAAATATTTTACATATTTTTTATTATCAACAATGCAACCTAAGTATCCTAGCAATTTAAAGAATTCCCTATGGCCATCTATTGGGATTGGCTATCGTTTTTTATTCTTATCTCGCTTATCCTTTGCGTTAGACAATTTTAATTTTCAAACATGTGTTTCACGTTACTTTCGGCACGTTCCGGTTTTCTATGTGGCGCGAGTTCTGGGACACCCTGTATGTATACCCAGACCGCAAAATCACATTCCCTGCACATGTCAGGAATATTCCCAGGAATATTCCAAGCGTCCCAGAATATTCCCAGGAATATTCCTGGCATAATCAAATGTCCGCTTTTTGGTTAACCCAGGCATCATAAAAAGAATATTCCATATATCTGCCTGCAGCCCAAACAACACAGTACGTTTTAAAAATGTACATTTTTGGTTATATTTACGTAATTACGTCTTAAGTCCATGTCTGACGGTGCAATTTCTCGCGGCGACTTTGTTGCGGCGACTAGTTGCAGCGACTTTCTCGCCTCTAGGGTGTTCACACGGTGCAACCAAACTGACGTTATTTTCTACTAGGATTGCCAACATAACCGAAAATTTCTTAGTTGAAAAATAAAAATACCTAAACAAATTTAATGTTTATTTAAATCGGTTTTATTTTATCCCACGTAAATCCCTGAGAGCCTATTTGGTTCATTATTTATGTAAATAAATAAAAACACTCGGATTAAAGCACACGCAAATCACATCTGTCATTCCACAGCTGATAAATATTGAGTACCAACCAAAAAATTTAGTGAAAATTCGTAAATCCCTAAAAAAGTTACCAAGTCGCGGCGATTTTATTGCATGAAAATAGAACATGTTCTATTTTAGGACAGGTTAGATCAGCTGATTAGTTGCATCGTGTGACCACCAAAAAATCGCGGCGACCTAGTCGCCGCAACAAAGTCGCCGCAACAAAGTCGCCGCGAGAAGTTGCACCGTCAGACATGGACTTTAAGACCAAAAAAATATGTATTAAGTACGTACTATATATTATGTACATAAAATGTAAGGTTCAGTCGTCCTGAGTCAGTACGTACATGTATAGTATAGCATAGTATGTACAAAGAAGGTATGTACAAAATACTTAACCAAAAGTTTGAACAAAAAACTTATGATCTTCTATAAATAATTTAAAATTCTTATTTTGTATACATACCTATCTAATAATAACAAATGATAGATTAAAATCAAAAAGGAACTGAGTTAAATTTTGAAATAAAAATAATACAAACTAACAGTGTATTTTTATCATTAATCCAAGATACAAAGCCTTTTTATTTGAATTTATTTAAATTGGGTAGTACCTAAGAATTTAGTCATCATTTATTTTTAAGGATTGATTTTTTTGAAAATGATGAAAATTTTTGTTGACTAGTGAGAATCAAACTCAAGACATAGTAAAAAAATCTATGTGGTGGTAATAAATATATATATATATATATACATATATGTATATGTCCTCAGAAAAAGAAGCATGTTCTAAAGTATTCCTGGTTGCATAGTGTGTACCGATCGCGGCAAAGGCGGTGTGGATCACGTGATGTTCTTAAATCTCGCCTCTGTTGACTTACATGAAGAGTATATAAGCTCAGGTAGTCCTTTACTTTGGTGTGACAATACAAGTTGTTAGATACTAAAGAGACCTTAAATAGGTGGAAACAGCTGTCAATACTTGAGTCGTTTTTTCGCGTAAATACCATGAAATACTATGGTTATTAAACTTAATCTTGGTTAATAGTTAAGCTGGATTTATAGTTTTAAAGGTAACGGTAGAGGCAGCGGTAAAGGTAGAGGTAAAGGTAGCGGTAGCAGTATCACTTTCTGCAATTTATAGTTCAGAAAGTAGCGGTAGCGGTACTGGTGGCGCATGCGTACTTTAATGCAGATTGTAATTTTGTTTGTAAAATTTGACAGCAAAAGTTTTCTACCAAAACATGGATTGCGAGGACAATGCTAGCAAAGCTGTGCTTCTGGGCCATATGGCGTTGTGCGAAATATTATATAATAAACCCTGCAAAACAATATATTATGTTGTATTGCAGGGTTTAAAGTACGTTATGGGGGTCGTCAAGTACGTCGGTATAAAATGAGGGAATTAAATCGGGAACGAGCTAAGAAACGCCATTTCCAGTATTAAAATAAAATAAAACTGACCGATAAAGAGTAGTTCTTTAAATACACATATGACGGTGCCCATTTTTGACAAATTATCAAGTCTGGTTGCCCCTCGCATAAAAACT